GTCTAAGGCGAGTGGGGCCGCTGGTAAACCTGAAACCCCTGTGTGCGGCGTTCTCGGTCGCTCATTCTCTAGTTTATAACCTGTTATGGTGATCTCACCTTGAAGGAGAATTAGGTAAGGACAGAGCTGCCCTTGTTCCTGCAGTGACACTTCCTTCCCATGATCCTGCTAACGTGAGGAATTGGCATTTCCTAAAACTTTGGGTAAAATGCTCACGGCTGTAAGTGTGGCTGCTTATTTCTGTTAAACGTTCTCGGTCGCTCATTCTCTAGTTTATAACCTGTTATGGTGATCTCACCTTGAAGGAGAATTAGGTAAGGACAGAGCTGCCCTTGTTCCTGCAGTGACACTTCCTTCCCATGATCCTGCTAACGTGAGGAATTGGCATTTCCTAAAACTTTGGGTAAAATGCTCACGGCTGTAAGTGTGGCTGCTTATTTCTGTTAAACAATGCACTGCCATGTGTTTGTGCTCTGCATCTAATTTTGTTTTCTCCCAAATTTAAAGAGTGTGTGTATATCGATGAGTGTCAGTAAAGGGCGCGTGGATACAAGGCCCTTTTCTAGTCCTTTCCATGAGTGGGGCTCTGCGTACCTGTCTAGTGGAGCACTCTCTCCATGTGACTTGGCAAGTCGCCATATCTTCCCTTCTAAATCAAAGCGAGTTCCTTCTTCCTGACCCCTGCTCGTTGGGATTTGGTGCTTGCTTTTAGCTCACACCTGGGAGTTAGACTAATGTTGCTGGAATGCAGCCAAGTAGCAGTAAGTAGTTGAAAAAAAATCCAAGAAAAAAAACCCCAACAAACAAAACCCAAAAAACCCACCCTAAGCAGAGGCGGATATTGAAGCAGTCATAGTGGAAGTGTGCCTACCTTCCTGTTTTTAGGGACTTAAACCTACAGTGTCTTGTAAAGTGGAGGTCTGTAGAAGCCAGCACAAGCAACATCACTCGCTTCAGACTTTGGAGGCTGTGTATTGTTACGTGAGTGTGAAGGCTCGAAAGTACCTGAAGAAGACTGACATGGGGTGCCTGGCGAGGCTTGCTGCTTTACTATAAACCACTCTGCTACAGGAAAAAAGATGCAGCTGTCCTGAGAGCTCCTTACTCATCGTTGCGTCTGGTTGGGAGCTGGGTAGATACCGTTCGTACAGTCGGTAACGGCGCTCACCGAACTGCAGTAGCTAACGGTTTGGGACGGAACGGCTGCGGAGCTTTCGGGCCAGAGGCGGTGCCTGCTCCACCTGGTGGCGGCCGGTTCCCGCAGCTGGAGCACACCTCCTGCGGCTGAGCGGGCAGCGTTGCCCCCATCTGCCTGGGTCTTTAGCGACTTCTGACGCAATCGGAGGTGGCATATGTTTACTGCTATTAAAAAAAAAAAAAAACAAAAAACAAAAAAAAAAACCTCAGCAGTTTTCTTAAAAACTATAATTCACTGAAAAGAGAACACGTTTTGTTTTGGTTTTTAACTCTCTTTAACTGCAATTTCGTTGTAATGTTCCTCTTGTTACAATGTACAATTACTTCCACAGGCAGGAAAAGCATTTAGGAAATTTCTTCCCCTCTTTGATCGTGTTCTGGTTGAACGATGTGCAGCTGAGACAGTAACCAAAGGAGGCATCATGATTCCAGAGAAAGCTCAAGGGAAAGTGCTACAAGCGACAGTAGTGGCAGTTGGATCGGGAGCCAGGGGAAAGGTAAGTCCCCCAAAGCATTACATTTGGGTAGAGTTAGTAATGGTGAGGCGGTGGCTGGAATATTATCCCAAGAAAGGGATGGTTGCAGTGCTCACAAAAATGGATGATGTCAATGACTGAATTCAAATGAAGCACAAATTCAAAGAGGAGGCAAAAATCTCAAGTTCCCCTGACTGGATATCTAGTTTCATCGCTTCTCAACCAAAACCTTGAAGGACCAGCAGTCTTCTCTGTTAAAATTATTACATGCCCAAATTTCTGTGACTTCTGAGCAGAGTGGAATCCCAGAATGTGGCATTTACTATCTTGTGCTGTGCAAAATGTCGCTGTTTATATGGATTAGGCTTCCTGGACAAAAGAAAATCAGGAATTAAAATAAATAACTGTTAATATATTTTTTTTTAATTTTGCATGTTGTATATGCATCTGGGATCATAAAAAAAGACAGTCTTCACAAAAGTGCAAATGACTGTGGGTTTCAGGATCAGAAGGGATTTTGCCCCTCCAAAGTGTGTTCAGTTAGTAGCAACAGTTGAAAACAGGTTAAATTTCAACTGGGGCATGTTGACTCGGACTTCTTTCTTTACCATGAGTCACTCCATACGTATCATGCTGTTTTGTGTCAGTGTCTGATTTTTAAAGCTTTATATTGTGAAATGCTGCCAATATTAGATGAACATGCTAATATTTTATTTAGAATACAAAAATATAATTAAACTTTATCAGGTGTTTCTAAACAACTGATTTGCCAGAGCAATGACAAGTTGATTAGAGTAATGAGGATGGGAAGGTACTTTTAACAGGCACGCGGAGAAATTAGCCTTGGCTATAGATATGGAAATGGACTCTCTCCCTTCATTTTAGAAGGGGGTTTCATGGTGTGTCACTTAAATTCTCAGGTTTCTTGTTTTACGGGTTGCTTTTTTAAGTGAAGTCCTATTCAGTGTGTCAAGCAAAGATCTCACAGTTATATTTACACTTAAAACTAAATAAAATTAATTATATTCAGAAAATCACTGCAGTTCTACTGCCTAAATATTGCAGGACTCCTGTGCTTGGGAACTGACTGGTGTGCTTTTCTTCCTAGGAAGCCTATATCTTCTAATTTCACTGTACAATGAAAATACAGAGTTGCTGTGGTTTGCTGAATGTTTTATATGTGGATGGATCATTGTAGTTTGGAGGAATTTTATTACATCTGTCTATGTTGTGGAAAACCAAAGATTTCTTTTTTTCTTTCAGAATGGTGAGATTCAGCCAGTGAGTGTAAAAGTTGGTGAAAAGGTTTTGCTACCAGAATATGGAGGTACTAAGATTGTACTAGAAGATAAGGTAGGTTTCCCAGCTCTGTGAATGCACATTAAGCTGGTGCCCAAAATGTCGTACTGCCAGTGATAAATACTGTAGTTACTTCATAGCGTTGGCAGCATTCAAGGACTGCAGTTGTTGGTATTCAAATGGGAGCAGCTGAATCCAGCCAGCTTCTGGTACCTGCAGTACTTGCTACTTCTACCCTTGCTTAAACGGAAATAACCAAGAAAACCTCTGGCTCTGCCCTCACTGGGTGGACAAAGTGGCTCCATATGCCAAGAGTGTGTTAGAGAGATTCCTAAAAGGCTTTGGAATTACTGGGGTATCTGTGCTTGCAGAATTGTCTTCTAACAGTTTTTGCACTTCCTACTACTAAAAATAGTAACTTGGTAGCTTTCCCAAAGAGTTTCTTATGAACAAAAAAATGTTTTTCAAGAAGTCAAAATGTAGAGCTAGTCTTGGATAGCTCACTTTTGATTTTGTACTTCATGACTGTGGTAGCCCTGACTTCAGGACAAGGCAGTATTTGCAAAACAACTGAAAAAACACCTGATATGACAGGTATCAATGTTTCTTTTCTTTGCAGGACTACTACTTGTTTAGAGATGGTGACATTCTTGGGAAATACGTGGACTAAACCTGTTGCAGTATCAGTCATCCATTCCACTAAAATCCTGAAATTTTTCTTTCATCATGTAAATAATATCCTTTATTTTATAATAAGCAGGCATGGAGTCTCTGAAGTAACATGTGATCTCACGGTAATGATGGAACACAAAAACATGTACAGTCAGAAGTCAGTTGGCTCTTGCTTGAGTTCCATTGAACAGTGAAATTCAGATGACCACCAACCAGCCTTAATTATTCCAAACAACACCATTTTATATCCTTGTCTCTGTACTGAGATTGTAAAGGTCTTTACAATAAACCTCTAAAACTATTCTGCTTCTGTCTCAGTTTCTGCTATTGCTCACTGAAACTGAGTCTCACTTGTCTTACAAACTAATTTCTCTGAAACAACTCAATTGTACTAATACATTGTTTTTCCTAAATGTGTGTGAAGTTGGGAGATGAGTTTAAAAGGGTTATCACTCAGCTGCAGGGTGAAGGGGACTTTCAGCTAGCTCCCTTGCACGTTGAACTTTGTCTTAAGATAACGTGTTTTTTTTTAACTACTGTCTTATAACAGCTAAGACACTGGTACACTGGAAGATTAGTGCATGCAGAGCAGCCTGCCCCACAGCCGTCTAAAAGGAGCTGGTACTGCTCCCAACCTGTGCTAGAACAAAATCATCCAGTTATAGATGAAGCCGATAAGAGTTATCAATGGTTCTTCTTACATATCTCTCACTGAATTTTGTCAATAGAAAACAAGTACCTTCCTTCCAGCAGTTAATTAGGCAGAATTTAGGCTGATGTTAAAGAGAATTTCTTTACTGATGACTGCACTATCTTGTGCCCGATCTCCAGATTTTCCAAAACTTAGGAGAGTGCTGATCTGACAAATTCTATTTCCTTTATCCTTAATGCAGCATTCTTAAATAGCAACACCTTTACTTGAGTAATGCTGAAGCAATCACATTTGCCTATTTCTAAACACCCTGTCTTGCCTTGGAGAGAGGTTCAAGGTTGTTCATGCAGGAGGACACAAATCTGCATGTTACACACTGTTCTGAAGGACGTGTTCAAAGTTGGTATGCTGGCGTTGATCGAGTGCAGCCTAAGAACATACTCTGCCTTAATGTTTTGATGTAGTCTTACATGGAATAAATCAGTATATGGCTTACTGCTACTAACACTTTAATAGCAGTAATTTCTTTCTCATTCCGTTCAAGCTGTTACAGAATCAACATAGCTAGATGCCCTGTAAGCCTTATTCTGGAGAAGACTGGAAAGAACTGTAGTGAAAAATACTTTTCAGAACTTTGGTAGCTGCAGTGGGGGACTTCAGCTTTGATGTACCCTGAAACACAATCAATTTCCTGCCAGGGCAGTTTGGGTTCCATCCCTGCAACAGATAAACTTGCAGTACAGAGCCACATTTTTACCAATTATCACCCAGCTGTTCCACTAGGCACTAGGTTTGACAATCTTAGCTGTAATGTCTTTTGCTATCCCTAGTTGTGGGGTGTCTGCTTGTTGGCTGTTTACCACCAGCCTCTTTTGGAGCTGTAGGAAAACCAGGCAAAAGTTACACCATTCAGGTGATTAAACTCCCACTGAACTATGTGCTAACAGGAAAGATGCTAAATTAAAAAACGTGTTATAGTATAAAAGGCCTATTTCTTGAAATCTGCCTTCTAGTTGTTTTACTGTAGTAGTTACAGCGGTGCACTTCACAGCTGAAACTTAAAAGATTATCACACTACAAGTGTCTTGAAAGACAATTGATTGTGTAATGGAACACAAACTCATTGAGCAGCAGTATCTTCCACTAGAGCAAGCATGCCTTTACCTCCCCTGATAAGGTAGGTATTCTGGTGCAGTCACATACCAACGAGGGGAAGGCTTTTAACATATTTACAAACTACTTACAGAAACTGAATGCAGTAGGAATCGAGTCCCGCCAGAGAAATGTTCAGGCTTAACACTGCAGTGTTTCTCTCAATAATGCCTTCTAGAGGCACAAATTACCTCAGATCCCCACAATTTCAGCAAATAATTTCACAATGTTCGCAGTTCTTTTTTATGAGGAGCCACTACCACCCGTGGGGGTGTGATCTGAGGGCAGGTGACCCAGAGGTAGCACGTGCCCCCTGCCTACCCACACTGCTGGCCTTCACCCCCGCACGCTGTACCCAAGGCAGCCCCTGCCCGCTCTCCCGCAGGACCACGCTCAGCTCGCCCTGCCAAGCGCACACCGCATGAGGCCGTCTCCCCCGACTCTACCTCCAACCCGTGCTTTCAGCCCCAGCAGATTTTCAGCAGCTTGATATCATGCTTATTTAATAAAATACTTAGCATGGCTGTGTGTGCTAGTGTTTACATAAACAACTAAAACCAAAAGTCACATTTTCCTGAAAACTTTCATGGGAGTAAGTAATTTATGGATGTGGGGAAAAAAAAGCGCATTCCAAGGTCTAATCAAATGGAGGACATGCTTGAATGTCTGCAGGATCGATAGAGAACATTTTATTTTTGCACCATGGGGCTACCACTGCAAGCAAGGACAAGGTAACTTTTACATAGCCAAGGTGATCCTTCTGCTGTTACTGTTTCTTACTCCATGGTGGCATGCCAAATTCTGTATCCCTCAGGTTCTACAGAGGAGGCCAGAATCAATCACAAATGCTCTTTCTTTTATGTGTCATTTGTCTACATTCAGCCTGTACCCAGGGCTAAACTATAACAGCCGCTCTATCACCCAACAACCCCTCACCAGCCAGGGAGGGGAATCAGGAAAAAGGAGAGCAGGCCCCTGGGTGGAAGTGAGAACAGATTTTAATGAGGTAACACCAATGCCAATAGAGATACACAGAGTTGTACTCAGCCAAATGAATATGCAGTTGTCACAACCGACCAGAGAGCAGTCCTCAGGACCAGGGAAAAGCCAGCAGAGGAACTCCAATGGGAAAATCACAGGAGCTCCCCTTCCTCTGTAAACCTTCCCCCTTTATAGTGAGCAGGACATTATGGTATGGGCTACACCTGTAGCTCACTCCGGTCAGCTGCCCTGGCTGACTTGAAACTGCCCAGCGTGGCTGGCCTACAGTTCTATCCCAGCCAAACCAGGACAGTTGTTCCTGTAGGAGAGTAGACTTCTCTATTCCACTGTTTTCTAGACTGTTTCAAAGCTTTAGTTTTGGCAAAAACGTTTCATATGGCCCTGCCTGCTTTTCCGGGGGGATACAGTCCTTCCCAGCCTTTCCTCAGACTGTCTGAATCGTAAGGAAACAAGATGGACTCCATCTACTTTTGCTACTTTCCTTTCTTAACAGTTCAGAACAGCTCCCACTAGCAGTAGCTATACTGTTTTCAGAAAACCTTTGTTGTCTTGGTTATGTTACTGTGCCATAGTAAGAAAAGGATGAAACTTTTACACATTAGTAGGGAGGAAAGGAAGATCAGGTCCCTAACAGCACAGGAATAGCCAATAAGATTTTGGCTAAATACTCCAGTTTTCACTCTTGAGGGTCATAAGGCAACGAGGACCAGGTAAAAACCAAAAAGTGAAATTACTGTTGATCAGATTTTGTTTAAAAAGAACTTGAAATCAAATAAAACAAAAACAATGAGCAGCATCCAGGAATATAGGGTTAATTATCAAGGGGCAACACAAGAGACCTATGGACTTTTAACATATTCCTTAAGAAAAACTGCAGATTTCTTTTTCCTTTTTCTGCAACCCCATGAGCCAGTTGCAAATGGAACTAACATACATTTTTCACTCTGAGAGGTATTTCTTCACAGCCAGATTTATTTCCATTTTAGAAGCAAGATGTCCATGAAATAAAAGTCAGGGACAAATGGAAATGTCAAATCCCCAACTCTTCTGTGCTTTAGATATCAGTTAAACCTTGAATATGACGGTAGAAAAACAAAACCAAAACAACACAAAACCCCCAAAGAAGCTGGTGACTGTTAAAGGCCTTAAACAGTGAAGTTGCATTTATTTGGGGACTGGCTAATTATAATATCCATCTCATTAAAAATTGATGTTGGGTTACAGCTGATCTAATGAGGTAGTAGGACATTTGTACCCTTCATTCTAATGCACCAGCTTCTCCCAACGTTATGAACCTTTTCATGGTTTCTTACACAAACTGCTGGGAAGCGCTGAGTTTCACCACATGACTCAAAAAGCTAACATCTCTGGGGCAGGAATTAATTATAATATCCATCTCATTAAAAATTGATGTTGGGTTACAGCTGATCTAATGAGGTAGTAGGACATTTGTACCCTTCATTCTAATGCACCAGCTTCTCCCAACGTTATGAACCTTTTCATGGTTTCTTACACAAACTGCTGGGAAGCGCTGAGTTTCACCACATGACTCAAAAAGCTAACATCTCTGGGGCAGGAATGAGGCCACCTCTGTGTTACAGTGTAACGCGAGCAGAGCTGCCATTGCTGTCCGACACCATCTGCGGCTCAGCGAGCGGCAGGCACCCGGGCAGGGGATCACCCCATGGGCAGGGGATCACCCCTTACCTATTTCTCACCGCTGGCACGCTGTCCAGCTTTCAGCTCTAACCCGGCCTCCAGAACAAGGCAGGATCCTGGTCACGGCATTGCCCAAGAAAAATAAGTGCTCAAAATGCACTTTACTTTCTGATGGGAGAGACTAATTAGAGATTTTTCACTGTTTTCAATCCAGAAATGTTTCACATACTCTAACTCTCACTGGGTAGAAGGAAGAGGTTTTAACATGGGGCAGCACATGTTATTTAGAGCAAATTAACTGTGAGCAGTTCTTCTTGCTTGTCCTGCAGAAATAATACGAGCCACTCTAGTCTTCAAAAATGTCTACTTGCTTGTAACATGGACCTATTTATCAGCTAGCTCTAAGCTAACATTGCCTTTTTAATGTTTTTCTTCCCAAATACAGTCAACACATGTAACACCTGACTTAGTAAACCCTGAAACCCAAGCTAACTCCGTTTTCCATTAGCGCAGCAGTCTGCAACCTTTGCACACCAAACTCACAAGTCTGTCAATCCTGCCTTTGAGAACCTAAAAAGGCTTTGTACCTACCTTGTTCGAAGTACTTTGCCCCAAAGCACTGTGTTTGGGTTTTTTTTTTTTTTATTCTTTATTCTTAGCACTAACAACTATGTATCTTTAATATGTGACTTTAAATTTAATTTTTTAAAATTCACACCCTTATGGTTTATATTGTACAATATTTCATAAGCTCGGTTGTGTTGCAGAGAGACTTGTACAGAGCAAGCAAGGACTGACCTTGCAGGAGGGCGTGCACAGCCAGATGCTGACAGAG